CACACACAAAACCCGAGATGGAAAAAGCCAAAGAAATTATTCTTTCCAAATTTAAAAGCCTGCAAAATTATAAAGGCACCTCCAGTGTGCTTAATTTCCCTTCATTCCACCCCTCCAGATTAAAGATAACTTTCTATTTACATGGCCCTTCAAAAGTTAGGACTCAGGGCACCTGGGTGGCTCAGTTGGTTAAGCATCTGGCTCTTGATTTCAGCTCAGGTCATGATCATATGGTTCAGTTCATGAGATTGAGCCCTGCATTCGGCTCTACAGTGACATTGCAGAGTCTGCTTGAGAGTCTGTTACTCTCTCTATCCCCACATGTGCATGCTCTCCCTCCCTCTCTCTCATAATCAATAAATAAGCATTAAAAAAAGTTATAACTCAATTTTATCTTTATTGTTGTTTTTTCTTATTGTAAAAAAAAAAAGTGAGACTTCTGGTCAAGATGAGTGTAACATCACACTTTGACGTTCCTCCTTAGTGTCAAACACATAGCAACAATATAGAAAATTTTAAAATACACAACTGAAAATACAAAAGCGAATTCAAAAACAAGATAGACATCTTCCCAGACAAGAAACCGACAAAACTGCAAAGCATCAAGAGCTAAGACTGCAGGCCTGCAAAGATCTAGGTCTAAAAACAGGGATGCTCAGCAACTATAAGGGAATTTAAACTAGTCATTCAAGTATACATGTGATATCTCTATCATTTATCTACCTATCTACCCACAGAGAAAAAGAGAGACTGTCCTCTGGGATTCTGTCTTTTAGCAAACTGCCAGTCTACAAAGAACAGAGACAACCAAAGCATCATGAGCAGAACTGTACCAAGCAATCTTTTTAGCTCTGAATGGACCAAAGAATACCTTCAATATCACCATAGAACAGAACTGCCAAATATACATTATCCAAGATTCAGGTTTAGATGCTCTGAAGATCAGGTAGGGTTCTCATTAGTCAAGCAGACATGGGTTGCCTAATGATGAGCACAACAAGGAAAATGGAAGTGAGGGGAAAGAGAAAAAAAAAAAAGAAACTAAAAATGAGGCTGCACAGCACAGTATCAGAACACATGGCAACACTGAGAAAGGAGCAAAGGAAATCAACAAGTGGAACATGAATCACTCTATATAAAATCATTTTTATGGAAAAATCTGACAAAAACTTTTAAGTAAATATTTCTGGGATGCTAGAAAACATTAGTGAAAGAATAACTCGTCTTAAAGGAGAATCTATAAAGGAAAATCAGGCATAAATTATACAAAAATGATGCAAAAGATTCAAAATCCTGGGGAATAAAATATTCATTAAAATTTAAAATTTATTAAAATTCTGTCAATAGAATAAATAGTTCCTAGAGACTGCTGCAGAAAAAATTGGTGCCTAGGAAGAATACAGGACAGAGAAATTAAGAAAGTATTTTAAAGATGTGAAAGCAAGATTAAGAAATTTAGAGAACAGTTTAATTGTCTTCTGAAAAGTGTCTAACATAAATTCTAGAAGAAGAGATTTCAGAGGCTGTCAGAAAGCAATACAGTCGACCCTTGAACAACATGGGTCTCAACTGTGTGGGTCCACTTATATGCAGATATTTTTTTTTATAAATACAGTACAGTACTATAAATGCTATTTCCTCTTCCTTATGATTTTCTTGATAACATTTTCTTTTCTCTAGCTTAGTTTAGTGTAAGAATACAGTATATAACATATATAACATATAAAACATGTTAATTGGCTGTTCATGTTGGTTATTGGTCAGACTTGTGGTCAACAGAAGGCTATCGGCTAACTTTTAAAAGTTGTATGTGTATTTTCAAGTATGCAGGGCAGGGGTGGTCACCCCTAGCCCCTGTGTTGTTCAAGAGTTAACATACCTAACATGAAGATAGTTTACCTAGAGAGAAAGCATGAAATCTAGGAAAACAAAAATATCAATAAATTATTTTTGTTTTTATATAAATAAAAACTGAATTTTTTTTATAAAACAATTTTTCTTTTAAGAGGTGAAATTTAAAATTATTGTATGTTCCATGTCCAAAATATGGAAAATACAAATAAGCAAAAGAGACCAATTAAAAATCATCTTCATTCTCAGCATGCACAGATAGCCACTGTTAATATTAGCGAGAGTAGATCAAGTATTATCTCTATGCATATTTTTTTATAAAAATGGTATATCACTCAAATTGTCTATCCTTCTTCTATTCTATACAAATATTTTTCTATGCCATTAGTTAATATTCTAACTCCTGTTTAAGAGCTGCATAGCATTCAATTATATAAAAGTACTTGATTGAACAATCCACTCTCCATTGTTTACATTTGTACAACCCTTCCCTTGGTTTTGGATACCCTGAACTTCCACTTTGAGCATGCTCTTCTAAAAATTTAAAAATAAATTATCTTGCCAAATCAGAATTTTCTGCCAAATTATTTAGCCTATTAAAAACTGTAAATACAAAGAACAAGAGTGTTACAGACACTGGAAAAAATGTTTCTTTCATCAAATTTTAGTTTTCAAGGTAATGCAACCTGAGTATTTGATTTTGAATCCCATTATAGGTAATATTAGTAGAGGTAGATGAACACTTCATCTTGACTGTGTAATTTATTTTCATAAAAATCTCTTTAGAGATCCCTGTCTAGTCAGCAAATAATTGCTTTAACTTTGTATTTTAATATTAGCACTGAATGATTTATGTACATTAAATAATGTGATTCTCACTAACCATTTATGAACCAAGAATGATTATCTCCCTTCTGTGGATAATCACACTTTAGGGAAGAAAGGTTAAGTGGTTTGCCTAGGATCACTCAGCTAGTCAATGGATTATCTCAAAATATGATCCTTAAGTCTTTAAATCATTAGACTTGGCTGGCCTCAGCAATACTTGAGAGGCATATGGGATATGTATGCCTCAAATGATTTATGTGGCATAATGTCTAAATTTGTTTATAGAGCATTTTTTCATTGCCTATCATACAGTTTGGTCTGTAAGCAAAAATGAGATATTATAAAAATGAACATGAGAAGAATATACATGTAGAAAAATCTCTGGTGAAATTAGAGCATCAATTTCCAAAATGGTACATAAACCAAGCAGACAATAGAATCAACCATTTAGTGGAAGGGCCAGGGGAAGAAAAGAAGGAGGTAACAGAAAGTAAATAGGGTAGAGTAGCTTCCTTCTATAGCACTGAAGTTAATGGTTAGATTTTAACAAGCTCTGAATGAAACAAAACGAGATCTTACTATGTCTTTTTTTTTTAACGTTTTATTTATTTTTGAGACAGAGAGAGACAGAGCATGAACGGGGAGGGGCAGAGAGAGAGGGAGACACAGAATCGGAAGCAGGCTCCAGGCTCTGAGACATCAGCCCAGAGCCCCACGCGGGGCTCGAACCCACGGACTGCGAGATCGTGACCTGAGCTGAAGTCGGCCGCTTAACCGACTGAGCCACCCAGGCGCCCCAGATCTTACTATGTCTTAATAAGGACATGTGCATTCCCTGAGAACTATTTCCTGCATTTCCAGAATAAAGCATCTGTACAGGTCTACCTTCCCATTTCAACTATAATGACAAATGTGCTTCATATATCACCACAATTTACAATTCACACAAATGCGACACTCTAGAGGTTTTTTGTGGAATTTAAACATCTTCAACAGTGATCTGAGCAGAATTAGAAGTATCCTTGGTAAACTGGAGCAGGGGCCCAAAAAGTAGTGTGATAATGTATTAAAAGGGCCATATCAGATTTGTATTTCTAGGTAAAGGGGAAGAGAAAACCAGCATGACCACTATCCCTTTCTGGAGCAAGGTGGTGAGGGTGGGGGGCGGGTGGGGGAAGGAAGTTCTGGTTTGCTTTTTCTATTCAACTTAGACCCCAAAATTGATTTTAAGAAAAATATTGATAAGTGTTTTAACTAATGATTTTTAATAAAACTGACTTTTTCTTTTAAAAGTGGAATTACCAACTGATCCTGATGTACGAGGCACTTACCTTGTTTTAGCACTGAGAAATCCTGCATCCTGGAAAATGTCTTAGTCATGTGCAAACTGGGGCAGTGGGTCAAAATTAAAAGTAAAAATTAGGTGTGTTCATTGTCTAAAATTTAGAAAATACAAAAAAGCAAAAGTGAGCATTAAGATCATACTTTCAGTATGCAGAAATAGCCACTGTTAATATTAGTAAATGAATTTCTGATTTCTCTATGGAATAGACTTAAAAAGACAAGTTACTATTATTACATGTGGCAAGTGACAGGGTACTATCATTTAAATTGTCTTTTAAAATTCTATTTAATTTTTTGCCAAGTACTTTAGTATGTGTACCTTTTTATCTGATTGTATCACTTTATAAACTGTGATAAATTTTCAATTGTGTATTGGTCATTTCTGCTATTCATTCTACAAATTCCCTTAACCTTATACTTTTCTTTATCTCTGAGACACAGTACCATGCCAGTACATTAGCAGCATGCTTTCTGAGTTCCGATAACTATATCACATTGTAATCTCACTGCTCAAGGGTATGCAGCCTTTCATTTCTTATTCCATTTCTATTTCCCCTGGAGGCCAGGGAGGGGAAATTTCTACCTAGGCAGGTTTGCATCATTTAACATTGCTGTTACTTGTCCAACAGTCTCCTACATGAGTGAGACCATATGTCCACCACTGTTAGCACTTAAAATTTATTATTAGCTACTTATACAGAAAGCTCTTTTGGTTTTGTGGGGGTTTAACTTTCTGAAAGCATTTCAAGTCCTGATTTAGAGATAGAAAGAGAAGGAAAATAAAATTTCAGCGTAAGAAAAGAAATATATCTTTCATCTATCCTAAAATGTTCACACTTGGTTGAGGCCATATTTCAGGATTATTATGATCCAGAAAGTACCTCTCTCATTGAAGAAGTACTTACCATCCATGTGTGAAGGTACCCTGTTCTTGCCAGTAATACATGCAATAATGGCCTCTTCTGTTTTGTTTCTAGCTACACAATCCCTGTGGGCAGCTCTCAGAGTGTGTGTATGATTGAAGTGACTGCAGATGGAAAACCTCCAATACTGAAGAAAGACACAGAGATATCCCATGTGTCTCAGGTAGTTATGCAAATATCCAGCTCCAGACATTACTAAGTGTGCCCTCAATATTTCAAATAACTATTTATTTTTAAGTTAATAAATACACATCATATTTCTTTATTGAACATATTCCTTGTAAAAGCTCTCAACAAAACACCAGAATAGTCATCCCTGATACTTTAGGTACAATTAAATATATTTAATACTGCCTGTCGCTATAAAAGTTTTATTAAATTTAACAAGAAATTGATCTTCGTCTCACACTTTGCATATAATATGTTATGCTTGATGAAAAACACAGCACAGGAATGGGTAAAGATTAGCAAGATGCGGGGCACCTGGGTGGCTCAGTCGGTTAAGCGTCCAACTTCAGCTCAGGTCATGATCTCACTGTGAGTTCGAGCCCCGCATCCAGCTCTATGCTGACAGCTCAGAGCCTGGAGTCTGCTTCAGATTCTGTGTCCCCCTCTCTCTCTCTGCCCCTCCCCTGCTCATGCTCTGTCTCTCTCTGTCTCAAAAATAAATAAAAACATTAAAAAAAAAAGATTAGCAAGATACAAAACAGTAATTAAAAACGCATTTTATAGGCTATGGTAGTGCTTGTACTGTGCTGTTAAAAAGTCCCTTCTCAGAGAATTTTTCTTAGAAACATTGAATGAAGCAAAATTTAGAGAAGAGAGGATAGATGGTTGTCCTTCCAGAGACCAGGCAATTTGCTGAATTCTTTTAATTTTAATGATGTGGTTGGTTACATGCTTCTTAGTATGACTTTATAGAAATACATTTAAGATAAAGAATTCCTGGTTCATTTGATCATCATGGAGAGTTAATCTGTATAGTTAGAGCTCCAAAGTGCTAATTTTAGTGCACTTTAAAGCTGGCAGTGTGGAGGGCCCTAATGAATTGGAAATTTCATTTTATTTCTATTTTTTTCTACGTAGATTTTTTTTCCCATATTGAGCATATACAAGCATCTTAAAGAAGCACATAAGAATAGCTACATTTGCATGAGCACATTACATTTTTCAAATTATGGCTATATATTTTATCTCATTGGATCTTCACAAGAACTCTCCAAAGTAAGAATTATTATCTCTTTTACAAGATAGTATCTTATAAAACTGAGTATCAGATGTCCAAAATTTCATAGTGATAAGGAAAGAGACTTGATCCCAGATTTTCTGATTCCCACGCTTTGTTGTTGTTGTTGTTCCTTTTATAATACACTTAATTTCCTGCTGCAACAGATTCAACACTGTCTAGTGGATTATGATGGTAAGAATAAAATTGGCTTTTGTTTTGAAGAAAAAAAGAGACAAACAAACAAAAATAAACACAGACTCTTGAATACAAAGAACAACCTAGAGGTTGCCAGGAGGGGAGGCAGGTGAGTGAATGGATGAAACAGATAAAGGGGATTAAGAGTACACTTTTCATGATGAGCTCTGACTAGTGTACAGGATTGTTGGATCATTACATTTTACATTACATTACATTACATTATTTTTTTAATGTTTTTATTTATTTCTGAGAGAGAGACAGAGAGAGAGAGAGCACGAGCAGGGGAGGGGCAGAAAGAGAGGGAGACACAGAATCCGAAGCAGGCTCCAGGCTCCAAGCTGTCAGCACAGAGCCCAATGCAGGGCTCAAACTCACAAACCATGAGATCATGACCTGAACCGAAGTCAGCCAGTTAACCAACTGAGCCACCCAAGCACCCTATCTTTTCAATAAATACTCATCAGTGGAATTGCTGGATCATATGATACTTCCATTTTTAATTTTTTGAGGAACCTTCATACTGTTGTATATAGCAAGTGCACAATTTTACATTCCCACCCACAGTGCACGAAGGTTCCAGTTTCTTCACATCTTTTTCAACACTTGCTATATTCTGTTTTTTTATGACTACCCTAACAAATGTGAGATGGTTTTTAATTATGATTTTGATTTGCATTTCCCTGATGAGTAGTGATGTTAAACATCTTTATTACATATCTTTTGGTTATTTATATGTCTTTGGAGAAATGTCTATTCAAGTCTCGTGTCAGTTTTTTAACCACCCTATTTGTTTTCGCTTTGGAGGCATAGGAGTTTCTTATTTTTTTTTTAATACTAACCCCATATCAGCTATGTGGTTTGCAAATTCTTTCTCTCATTCTATAGATTTCCTTTTCATTTCATTGATTGTTTCCTCTGCAGTGAAGAAGCTTTTTCATTTGACATAGTCCCCCTTGTCTTTTGTTGCTTTTGTTGCTTGTGATTTTGGTGCTATATCCAGGAAATCATTTGTTCTACAGTGTTGTTCAAGTCCTCTGTTTCCTTGTTATCTTCTCTCTGGATGTTCTAGCCATTATTGAAAAAGGGATATTAAAATCTCATACTATCATTGAGCTGCTATTTCTCTCTCTGGTTTTGTCAATGTTTGTTTCATATATTTGAGCGTTCTGATGTTGAATGCATACACATTTATAATTGTTATATCTTCCTGGTCAGTTGACCCAGATAATCATTATATAATTATCATTCTTTGTCTCTTGTGACAAGTTGACTTGTCTATTTTGTCTGAAAACCTATAGGCATTCCTTTTCTTTTTTGGTTACCATTTGCATGGAATATCTCTTTCCTTTCTTTCACTTTCAGCCTATATGTGTCCTTAAATCAAAAGTGAGTCTATTATAGACAGAATATGTCAGATATTGGTTTTTTTTTTAATCTTTTTTTATCCACCCGGTCACTTTATGTTTTTTGATTGAGGGTTTGCATTTACATTTAAAGTAATTATTGATAAGTAATAAATTGCTATTTCCATTAATTATTTTGTCTTATAACTCTTTTGTCCCTGGTTTTCTCTCTTGCTCTCTTCCTTTGTGTTTCATTGATTTTTGTATGTGTGTGTGTGTGTGTGTGTGTGTGTGTGTGTGTGTGTGTGTATGAACCATACTTTGATGCCTTTCTCATTTTCTTTTTTGTATCTTATATGTATAGTTTCTTTGTGGTTATCATAGGGCTTACATACAACATCTTACAACTATAATAATGTATTTTAAGCTAATAGCATCTTAACTTCAGTTGCTTGATCTTCGAGCTCTAATCTATATATACACCATTCCCAAAAAGCTTTATATTTTCATATGCTTTCATGTTGCTGTTTAGTGCCTTTTCATTTCAATTTGAAGGACTCCCTTTAGCATTTCTTGTAAGGTAGATCTAGTATTGATAAGCTTCCTCGGCTTTTGTTTATTTGGTTTGTTTTCATTGTTTTTTAATGTTATTTTAGAGAGAGAGCACATGATCAGGGGAGAGGGGCAGAAAGGCAGAGAGAGAGAGAGAGAGAGAGAGAGAGAGAGAGAGAGGATCTCAAGCAGGCTCCATGCTCATCATGGAGCCAGATATGGGGCTTGATTCCACAACCGTGGGATCATGGCCTGAGCTGAAATCAAGAGCTGGACACTCAACTGAATGAGCCATCCAGGTGCCCCTCTGCTTCATTTTTAAAGGACAGTTTTGCCAGATATAGTGTTCTTATTTGGCAGTTTGGGGTGGGGGGAGGGAGTTGAGCACTTTGTGTATATCATCCCACTCCCTCTGGCCTTGAATGTTTCTGGTAAGAAATCCATTGATAGTCCTATGAGCCTTCCTTTTATGTGACAAGTCACTTTTTTTTTCCTCCTTTCAGAATTCTCTGTCTTTGACTTTTGACAATTTGATTATGTGTCTTGGTGTAGACTTCTTTGAGTTCTTTCTTGTGGTAGTTTCTGGGCTTCTTAAATCTAGATGTCCATTTTTTACCCCAGATTTGGGAAATTTTCAATATCTTTTATTTTTTTTAATTCAGCTATAAATTTTTGTCTTCATTCCAACTAAAAGAATCAAGTAGGAAAATGTTTGAATAAGTAAAGTTAAAATTCTCATGTTTATTAACAGTCATTATATCTTCAATTAAGTATTCTGCCCCTCTCTTTCTTCTCCTTGTGAGACTCCCATAACGCACATATTGCTCTATTTGATAGCATCTTATACGACCCTTAGGCTTTCCTCACTCTTCTTCAATCTTTTTTTTTCCTTTTGCTCCTCTAACTGAATAATTTCAAAGAAACCTATCTTTGAGGTTTGAGTTTGAGTTTGCTGATTCTTTCCTTCTGCTTGATCAAGTCTTTTGATGAAACCCCTCTAATAAAGTTTTCAATTTAGTTTTGTATTTTCAGCTCCAAAATTTCTGCTTGATTCTTTACTATATTTTCTCTTTGTTGATGTTCTCATTTTCTTTATGCTTCATTTTCCTGAGCTCATTGAGCATCTTCATGACTGTGACTTTCATTCTTTCTCACGTACTTCCATTTCTTTAGGGCTGGTTGCTGGAGACCTCTTTTGTTCCTTTGATTTTTTTTCCCCCATTTCTTCCTTTACATTGTAGAATTCGTGATGAGATCTACACTATAGAAAAAACAGACATCTCTCCCAGTCTTTATGGATTGGCTCTGTATAGGAAAAGATCTTCACCAATCAGCCTGAGAGTCTGGGAACCTCTCAAACCTGTGCATGTATCTTCTCTGGACTTGTGTGTGTAAATTCTCTATTATAGCAATTTGCCAGTTTCCTTTTCCAGGTACTCATAGTGTTTTGCTGCCTCTGGTGTCTGCAGTACTACAGGTTCTCTGGAGCTACCTACCACAAGCCACCCACTTCTCTTTTGTTCTCAGCAGCCCCAGAGTTTCTAGAGTACATGGGTCATGCAGAACTTCCAAGTCAGGCAAAATAGAAACCAGTCACTCAAGAAACCCATAGAAAAGCCATAATGTTAGAAACATGCTCCACTCTTCTTTACCCTGCCCTTCTGCTCTGGCCCCTATAAGAGATCACCAAATTATATCAGCCTCAGTCTACTGCATCAGTGGTCCTCTGGAGCAGCAACACAGCATCCAGCCGTCTTTTGTTTTCAGTGATGGCCAGGTCCCATCAAGACTGGGGAGACAAACTCATTCTTCACTCAGCCCCCTGAAAAGACATTATTTTGG